AGTGGCATCGTTGTGGCACTGCAGGAGGCCCAGGATGGACATGTCGTCTGAGGAATGGGAGGGGGAGTTGAAATGGTTCGCGACTGGGAGGTGCAGTTGTTTATTGCGAACTGAGCGTAGGTGTTCTGCAAGCCTCCGCTTGGTTTCCCCGATGTAGAGGAAGCCACACCGGGTTCTCTTGTTATGGTCTGTCAAGCCAGGTTTCACTTTAGAACCTGGCTCATCCAGAATAACCCAAAGCTGGGATAGTAACAAAAACTTCGATATAATATGATAAAAGTAATCACCTGCATGGACAGTATTGTCAGGTAGCAGCTGATCATCAAAATAATTTATGTATGTAATATCCAGCTCTTTGGTTATGGCCAAATAAAGATCTCCTTTATTGAAACGGACGTTTCAAAGGTGGGACTATTGTTCAGAATTTTACAGATACAACGACGGTATTTTTGATATGCTAATGCATGTAACACCTACATAACTTGAAGACGGCTTACTTTCTTGTCAAGAAGCATTTTGGACAATCTGTAAAGAAAGCTATTCAAAGGAATTCAACAATAATTGAACTGATGTTTATAATTAATGCTGTTTGAACTAACTTCAACAACCATTTATTTCTGTGAATTATTCTACCTAGAAATAAGCATGTTTGCTGCTTTAATCTGTTACACAAGTGTTCAGCATGGCTAATACAACAAAAAATTTACATTTATATTGTGTCTTTGATGTAGTAAAATGCTCCAAGGCACTTCGCAGAAGAAGATTGGACAAAATTAGACACTAAACCCAAGAGTATTAGGAGAAGCTAAAAACTTTGTTAAATAGAAGCATTTTAAGGAGCATCTAAAGGAAGAGCAGGGCTGAGATGTTTAGGGAGAGAATTCCAGAACTTAAGGCAGTTTAGGCACAGTCACTGTACGTGATCCAGGAGTAAAGGAATGCAGATATTTGAAAAGACTTTGGATGAGAGGATTAATTGTCTGGTTAAAATGATGTGGGCATTACATAAATCTCTGGGACTAAATGGGCACATTGGCCTAGGTTGTTTTGCATACATGGTCTTGTTTCAGTTCACAGAAAGTTTAAACAATCCTGTGGGATCTGGCTTTTGTATTGAGTATGAGAAAAAGTATTGTGTCTGGAAAGGCCTAAATAATAACCTATTATTGACTTACAGAGAAGGGTTTGCAGCCGATTCCTCTGCATTTGGTCATTAAACAGATGTTTGTTAATTGCAGATATACTATTTCCCTACATGATAAAAGGCTCATGTTTGAACCTGTACTGGCTCATCTTCCATATCTTTTGCTGTTGAGAGTCTCCACCATTTGCTACCAGCAGATGTGTCCTGTTGTTTGCAGTATTTGATTGTTTTGGTGGAACTAGCAGTTTATACCTGTCATTTTCGAAAATCTGTTTGTTTCTGTTCCTTTGTTGATGATCCCAAGACTTCTACCACTGCTGGTTGTCAACCAGTCACAAAGCTTGTAATTTTCTCTCAATATGGGGTAGGTACCAGAGAACGGAAAATGACCAATGTGGCAACCTTATTCAAGAGAAGGTATATGGACATTCCTAGTAACTACTGGCTGGTCAGTTTAACGTCAGTGGTCTGTACAAATTTGGAAACATCGTTAGGGAATAGATTAAGAGACACTTGGAGAGGTCTGAATTAATTAAGGAGAACCAGTGCAAATTTGTAAAAGACAGGTCATGCTTGTGTATTCTAATTAATTATTTTTTATGAAGTAACATGGAAGGATGATGGCAGGAATGCAGTGTCTATATGGGTTCTATATTGTCTATATGGATTTTAGGAAAGTATTTAACAAAGTACTACTTAAAAGGCTAGTTAACAAAATTGATGCTCATGAAATAGAAAAATCAGTATCAGCCTGGATAAATGATAATTTTCTAGGTTGAAGGATAGTAAACAGCAGTAGTCAGTGCAAGGATGACATTTTTAAATGTAAAAATGACTTTGATATTGGAATAAAAAGTAAAATTTCAAAATTTGCTAATGATGCCAACGTTGGAGGTGCAACAAACACTGAGGCTGACATTGATTGGCTGCAACAGGACAACAGGATAGCACAGTGGACAGGCAAGTGGCAGATACAATTTAATACAAATAAGTGTGAGGTGATGCATTTTGGCAGAAGGATTATGGAGACATATTATATTTTTAATGGCTCAGTTTTGAACAGTGTGTGGAGATGGAGGGTCCTGGAAGTTAATGTGCATAGATCTTAGAAGGTGGCAGGATATATTGAGAGAGTAGTAAGCAAAACGCATGGAATCTTCAGCTTCATAAATAGAGTTATTAAGTACAAGAGCAGGGAATTATGATAAAACTTAATAAAGGATTAGTTATGCCACAACTACAGTATTGCAACCAGTTATGGTCGCCACACTTCGATAAGGATCTGAAGGTGCTTGAGAGGGTGCAGAAATGTTTTTCCACAGTTGTTTCAGTACAGAGTGAATTCAGCTACAAGTTGAAGTTGATGAATCTGGGTTTGTTCTCCTTGGAGCAAAGGAGGTTGAGGGGAGATCTGACAGGTGTGCAAGATTATGACTGGTTTGCATTAGGCAGACAGAGAAAAGAAGTTAATATTACCTGATGGTACAAGGACTAGGAGACACAGATTAAAGGTTTTGGACAAGAGTCACAGGGAGATGTGATAGAAGCAGCAATGAAAAATGATTTTGAAAAGAAATTTGATAATCGCTTGAAGGAATTAATTTGCAAGGCATAAGTATCGATCAGAGGAATGAGACTGATCGATTACTCTTCAGAGAACTATCATTACATTGATAGGTTATACCATTCCTTCCGTACCATTATGATTCTGACTCTTAAGTGAGATGGGAGAGAAATTTATTGAACTCCTAATTTATTTTTATTTTGAAAAATCGCTCTAAATGTGATGGTCCAAGTGAAAATGGTTAACTCATTTCATGGAGAATAGTGTAGGCAAGCCTGTACCCCTCCGTT